TCAACCACGGCCTTCTGGCTCTCAACCATGGCCTCCTGGTAATAAATAGTGTAAATAATTTATACTACTTTATACCCTGAGGAGGAGGGTTGGGAGAGCCTGTTGCAGGCTGTCCCACAAACTGTGGTTTGGCCACGCTCTTAAGATGTAGCACATGTCAGTTAAATCCTCGCTCCGGCTGAGGCAGAGAGGACGTTCAAACCTCTCTTCCCGATGTGACTTGTCTGGGCTTTCTGTCAAGATCAGCTTCAAAACCAGTCAAAACGCTTCTCTTCAGAAATATCAAAGCAAGCCATTTTGATGTTTCTAATTTTATGGGTTAAATCTGATTAATGGATTGCACACCAATCGCCAGACAGTTTTGGTCAATCAGAAACTGCGCTTTTCAGTGAATAAACTGTTCTTCAGAAATCATCGGCTCTGCTTGGCCCCCCTTCCCACTGCCACAGGAGAGAGCAGGGACACTGTAGGTAATGCTCAGTGGACGGGTCCGTTCTGCTCTGGCTCTAACGTAGCCACCAGCTGGTCTCACTCTCTGCCAGCTCTTCTGCTTGGAGACACCAAGGATCTTCGATAATCTCTGGCTCACACCGTGGGCAGCTTCTTCCTCAGCCGCACCTCTCCTGCTGCCATCACAATGGCCATGTAAAGATTTGGTTACCAAACTTAATTTCCCCACTGAGGATTTTTAGCTACTGTCATTGGTGTTTCTATGTCCTTGCTTTCAGGACACAAATCTTTATGATCCCATGTGGTTATACCATCTATTGTCTGTTGTATTTTCAAGCACCTTCTTAGGCACAGGTCCAAACACAGCAATGCTAATTTTTGTTATCAGGACACAGCAATGGGTCTCCATGGGTGGCTTAGCTGAGATTGGCCACACATCCTCTGAGGACATGCTACTTGGCCCTGATATCTTGCCACCTCCATCACTGTTTGCATCAGCATCAGGCCACTACAGGCCCTTAAAAAGACAACCTTGGCACCTGTAGGGCAAGCACTGCCTGCAAGGGGTGAAATCCACACATTTGTGGTTGTGCTGCTTTTAAAACTGACTCATGTTAAAACATGAGTATTGTGTGCAGGTCTGGAGCCCTCAATATAGGAAAGATATAGACCTGATGGACCACGTCCAGAGGAGGGCCACAAGGATGATCAGGGGGTTGGAGCACCTCTGCTACAAGGACCTGCTGCTGACGGAGCTGGGGTTGTTCAGCCTGGTGAAGAGGAGGCTCCGGGGAGACCTAATAGCGGCCTTCTAGTCCCTGAAGGGGGCCTACAGGAAGGCTGGGGAGAGCCTGTTTACAAAGGCCTGTAGTGACAGGACGAGGGGCAATGGCTTTAAGCTGGAGGGGAGCAGAGTTAGATTGGAGATTAGGAGAAAGTTCTTTACTGTGAGGGTGGTGGAGCACTGGAACAGGTGGCCCAGGGAGGTGGTTGAGGCCCCAGCCCTGGAGATATTCAAGGTGAGGCTCAATGAGGCCCTGGGCAACCTGGTCTAGTTGGGGGTGTCCCTGCTGGCCTCCCTGTGGGGAGGTTGGACTAGATGACCTTTGGAGGTCCCTTCCAGCCTGGACAATTCTATGATTCTATGATTCTATGAATCTCACATTGTGCAGGTGGCAGCGGTGGCCAGCAGATGCGGCAGTGTCCAGGCTCCGCTTTGAGATCTTCAAGATGCCTCTGGGGCTGGTGTGACACTCACAGAGCCCTTTGGGGACCACCTGGGTGCTGCTGTGGTTGAGGATGCTGCAGCCTCCAATGGGACTTGTCCAGCTCCTGTGGTGCCAGTGGCCTCAAGAGAATGCACATGGATGAGGAAGTGACTATGTGAAAACTTTATGGTGGGAACTCTCATCCCTCTTCTGGGAAATCAGCATGACCAGGTGCCTCTCTGAAGAGCCTGTACATGAATGCACAAGGCATGGGGAACAAACGGGGGAAACTGCAGGCCTGTGTGCCATTGTAGGGCTACAGTCTCATTGGGATCATGAGTGGTGGTGGAATAGCTCACCGCTATGGATGCTGCCAGGGATGGATACAGGCTCTACATGGCTGGGGAGGCAAAGGGGGAAGTTCCCTTGATTTAAGGGAACAGTGGGAATGCATGGAGCCCTGCCTTGGATGGATGAGGAACCAGCTGAGAGCTTATGGGTTAGGGTAAGTGGGCAGAAAAACTTGGGTGACGTTGTTGCAGATGTCTACTGTAGAGCACCTGAGCAGGAAGAAGGAGTAGTTGAGGCCTTCTTGAGGCAACTGGAGGAAGCCTCGTGTGTGCAGGCTGATGAGGAAATGGGAGACTTAGCCACCCAATATGGGTGGAAGGGCCACACACTAAAGCACAAGCTCTGATGACAACTTTTTGATGCAAGTAACTGAAGAGACAACAAGGGGAGATGATCTGCTGGACCTCAGAATCACAAACAAGGAAGAAATGGTCAGGGATGTGAAAGCTGGGATGGCCTTGGCTTGCAGCGGCAATGATATTGTGGAGTTTTGGATCCCGAGAGGAGGGAGCATGGCAAAGAGCAGGACCGCAAACCTGGATTTCAAGAAGGCAGGATTTAACCTCTTCCAGTTGCTGTTTGGAAGAATCCCATGGGATAAAGTCCTGGACAGAAGAAAGGTCCAAGGGAGCTGGTTGATTTTCAGGGATCATCTCCTACAAGCTCAAGACTGGTCCATGCCCAGACGCAGAACATCAAACAAAGGTGGCAGGAGGCCTGTATGGATGGATGAACAGGTAGGTCCTGGCAAAACTCAAACATAAAAAAGTGCACAGGGTGGAAGCAGAGTCAAGTAACCCTAGGAATAACACAAAGACACTGTTGGAGTGTGCAGGTATAGGCCACCTGGAAGGGAATCTCGTGAGGGACATGAAGAGCAACATGAATGGCCTACTGCTGAATGGGGAAGAGGTGACCTGGTCATAAACGACAAGGAGCAGGCTTAGGAAGTGAAGACAAGAAAGGGATTGGGGGAAGTCATTATGTTTTTCTGAAGGGGAATCCATGCTTAACCAACTCGATAGCCTTCTAGGACGATTCTATGGTTCTATGACTGGTTTGCTGAGTGAGGGAATAGCAGTGGATGTTTTTATCTCAGCTTTAGCAAAGCTTTTGACACTATCTCCCATGACGTCTGCATGAACAAAATTACGAAGTATGGGCAGTGGACAGCGAGGTGGGCAGAAAACTGGTTGAACTGCCAGGGTCAAGGGGTGGTGATCAGTGGCACAAAGTCCAGCTGGAGGCCAGGTCTAGTGGAGTACCCTGGGGTCAATAATGGGTTGAATATTGTTTAATGCCTTCATAAATGACCTGGATGTTGGAATAGACTGCACCCTCAGTAAGTTTGCAGAGGAGGAGGGAAGGAGGAGGATCTTATCAGTGTGTTTAAATAATAAAGTGATGTTGGGACACAATAAAGAAGATGGAACTAGCTCTTCTCAGTGGTGCCCAGTGACATGACATGAGGCAATGAGCACAAACTGAGATACTTTTTTACTGTGGAGGTGGTTGAACAACAGAAGAGATTCCCAGAGAGATTGTGAAGTCTTCGTCCTTGGAAATACTCAAAACCTGACTAGACAGTCATAGAATCATAGAATGGTTAGAGTTGGAAGGGACTTTAAAGATCATCAAGTCCTGGTCAGCTTGCTTTGGCTGTCCCTACTCGAGCAGGGGGCTTAGCCTAGGTGATCTCCAGAGGTCCCTTCCAGCCTCAACCATGCTGTGATTCTGTGAGTTTTGTTTAAATCTCCAGGATAAAGCACAGTTATATTCAAGTTTTCCATTAATTCTCACCTCAGTAGAGGAAATTTGGCTTTCAAGCCCAACAGCACATCAAACCTTTACCAAACCTGGAAGGCCAGAGTTTGAGGAGAGCTTTAACAACCTCACAAACCAAGGAAGTATAAAATGTGCCATGCAAGTCAGAGGTTTTCACTGCAACAACCAAATCATCAAAAGTTTCTCAAAAACCCCATTTGCTGTCAGGACAGAGTGGAGCCAAGTCAGCGCGATTCAAGTTTTTAGAGTCAATTTTGTAAAATGTCAAGAAGGAGTTACCTAGTGCCACCCAGTGTTGGCAGCTAGAAAAAGGAAGGTTAAATATGGTTGCAACTGGGTGTAGCCTAATAAAACAGGAAAAAAAATCCCTGCTCTTGCTTTCTGTATCAGGGGTAAGTAATTCCACAAAAGCTGTACAGCACCGAGGTCCAGGAGATAGGTGTCCTGCAGCCAAAATGCGGCTTTGACAGCTTGTTAAAAAAAAAAAAATCTTCCATCTTTTATATTCACTTTTCAAAACAGGTAATCAGTTTGAGATGTAAACAGCCTTTTTTTTTTTTTTTTTTTTTACAACTCACTCCTCTAGTCTGATATCACTCTAGAGAGAAAAGTTGTGCTGACTTTTCTGATTAGATGTTCAGGAATTTAGATGAGAAACAACTATGTAAGAGGTGTCTCTTCCCTAGGATGAGTACAGTTAAAACATTACCTTTTCCCCCCTTCATCTCAGATGCTGCATATGACCTGCCTTTTCCTTGAAGTCTTTTAAATTATACAGGATCTCACGTACACCAGACATGGCAATAAATACTCTCCTAGTTATGATCTTCCAATGACTAAGTAATAGCACTTATGCCTTGGTCCTTCAAAGGACTATATAAAGCCGTTTGAGGGTCATGGTCCCACTTAACAGATATGAAAAGTGGGGTGCTAAGCAGGGACTGTCCCCCCATTGCAGCACAGAGCTGGGTCCTGGCCAGGAGGGGATGGAGGGGACCTGGAGCGCAGAACCCAAGTGGGAAGGAGGAGAAGGGGAAACAAGGCATTGAGATGCCTTGAACCCATCAGACATTGTGGGGGTGAGGGGATCTCAGGGTTGTGGTTTCACCCATAGTGGCCATGGCAGAGAAATCCTCCTAGAAATCCTCCTTTACGCTGCCCCAAAGTGGTCTCATTGCCCAGAGAAAAGAAGACAACAGCCATTTGAGTGGTTCTACGCCAGTCCTTTATTCCAACCCCTAGTTGGCCAAGAAGAGACCAACACAGGAGTTTATCTCAGATTCATACAACAAAAAAACCAACAGCAAAGCGAAGGGTGGTCCCCTCTGAAGCAACCTCACCTCCATGAGGTGGTTACCCGTGTGTCTGGGTGGGAGGGGTCCCTACTGGCATTTGTACTTTTTTCTCCCACCCATGGAGCCATCTCCCAGTCACAGGGCCGATCCCTTGGCCCTGTGCCTGCTGACAAACAAGCTTCCTCTCTCACTTACCTTTCACCGAGGGCTGGGAAACAGGCCAGGCAGCGCGGCCGCAGGTCACGTGCTGAAAACTACTCTTCTGGGACCAACACACTTGGGGTGGTTTTTTTCCTTTTCTTGCCAGTCCCGCCAGGTTCCTGGAGGAGCTGGGAGCTGGGCTGGCTCTTCTGGCTCCTGTAGGAAGACCTCCACGGTCATTAATAACATCCTGATGTCCCACTGGGGCCCCACATGTCCTAGGTGCTCTCCACAGCTATGAGATTCCCCGTCCTCCTCCCACGGAGCTCACAGTTTAAAACCCAAGGCGGAAAATCACAAATTCCTGTGACGACTGCTCAGCCCATGCCTCAGGAATTCATCAAAAAAGAGAATTTTCCCAAAGAGGGGCCACAGGACACAGTGAGCACAGAAAGAGTTGGGTGGAGGAAGGAGACAAGACAAATACAGCATTCACAGGGAAAAAACCAAAAATAAGTCCACGTGTATCCCCCTAGTTAGGAAGGCTTGCAAAATAGGTTTACAGTGGGAGAAAGTCCCTCCTGCAGAGGTTTTAGGGTCCCAGGGATCAGGATGAAACAGCAGGAAGGGGAAAGGCAGAAGCAGGAGACCTGGGAGTCCCTGAGCTACATGGAGTGACTCTGCTCGGTTCTCAGGTCCGAGGCATTTTTAAGCCTATAAATAAACCGGGGACGCTAATGATGCCATTAATCTCCGTTGGCTGCCGTCCCAGCTATTTTCAGTGGCGAGGTTACCTTGCCTCTCCCAGCAAAAGTAGGTCTGGAGGGGAGGGCCGGCCAAGCGGCAGGGACAGATGCTGTGTGCTCGGGGTGGGGAGCCACCACCTTCCCTCCCTGGGAGGACACTGCTGCCGTCCTGTCCTTGGCAGCCCACCAGAAGGAGGTGTCCCGTGTGGGGAACACACCAAAGCAGCCGCCAGGTAATAAATGATGGGAAAAAGCCGAGTGCTGCCGGCTGCAGAGGGAAGCGTGTGGCTGCTCCTGCCTGCAGCCCCCACGGCGGGAACACCTTCTATCTCCTGCAAGGAGATACCCCCGATGGAGACCTTCTGCTTCTCCAGACCCCCTGGGAGCCTGCTCCTCCACCTCTGCCTTCCCAAAGATGGGAAGTGGCAGGGCTTGGAGCCATGGGAGAGGGGGGAGCTCAGGAAGGGACAGGCCAGGGGGTCCCAACACACCAGCCCAGGGAAGGGAGTGGTGGGGTGCAGGTCCCTGGGGAGAACAAGGTACGCCTTGAGAGAGCTTCTTGCCCATCACTCGCAGTGCTTCCCTCACAGGCAGAGAGACAGAAGTCCCTATGATCCCTTTCCACCCAGGGAGAGCAGAAATGTCACAAACTCAGACAGTAAAAGGGGCTTTTCCCCCTTTCCACAAACACTGGGGAGGGGGGAAAACCCCAGGAGGTGGATGGATGTGGCTCTTCTATTGTTGCATGAAGCTGATCTGATTTAGGTCTATATATAGATGCTCCAACACATCCTTGCCTTGTCATGTACAGTAGGACACAAGAAAAGCTCTGTCTCTGCTCTTTGCTAAGGTCTCACTATAGGATCAGGTGTGGAAAGCAACCCCAGGACCACATCTGCCAGGGAAAAGAGCAGCCCTCAGCGCTCAAACTGCACCCAGAGCCGGTTTGTCTGTACAGGTATGGTCCCAAGGTTCATCTTTCAAGTTACCATGCTTTTATTTATTTTATTATTTCTGTTACAATATGCCACGAAAAAAGAATTCCTAACAGAAAATGAAGTTCACGCTTACTGGAAATAGGTACCTTTGAAAACCAAATCTACACTCTGCTTTCCTTTGACCTGCCTGCCCAGATACCCAAGATGGTCAGATACCACCACACACGGTTAGAGAAATGAATGTTCCTGTACCACCAGACAATAATGCTGCCCAACATTTTATCTTCTGCAACAAGCTCAAGAAGTTGAGACGTTCACTATGTAATATGACAAGAGTTGTTCACGCTCTGGTCCCAGATGTCATTTGGCTACTGTAGCTGTTAGGACTTATTCTCCTGAAGCATTCAGTGGCATAAGACTCAGTTTCCTTGTCTTCTCAGAAAGCACTCACTGTTTTTTGTTCTTTGTGTTGCTCAGTGTTGTTTCCCACATTTCTAATACCTACAGTGGTCTGGATACCACTTCCTTAAAAGCAGAAAAAGTTACGAGAGATCTGAATGTTCTTCTTACCTTAACCATGACATTTTGGGGCCAATGTCAGCAACTTTTCTGTGGAAGATCCAGCCTTCTTGCCCTGGCTTGCACATCACAAACAATGTGACCTGTTATCCCTTGGGAACCTCTATGAAATGCACTTAACTTACTCAGGTTTTGCTGTTTTGCCTCAATTACATCCACTGAACAATCTGAAAGCAGATTCTACCTTCCATGATGCAACTGCTGTCTACCTTCTTCTAGGGGTCATGCAGAATACGAGTGTTGGAAGGTCTCTGGAGGCATGGCATAAAGAGGCAAGGTTTGGTGCTGTGGCAAGCAGAGACATAACTGGATCCCACACTGTGCACTGGGTCTGTGCAGGGCAGCTGAGGACTCACATGCTGATGGCCACATCTGAGACACCAGCCATGGTGATACCCTATTATGCAATGGAGAGGAAGTTTCTTTCACACTTTAATGAGCCTCCACAGCGTTAGGCCATTTCTGCAACGCTTTCACAAAGGCTCCTTTCTGGTCCCCACTGCCTGTGACTGGCACTTTGGGGAGCCCGTCAGCCCCACCGCTCACCCAGGAGGCTGCCCTTTCGGGCGTGCTGATGCAGTGCAGCAGGGAGCAGGCACCACAACAACTCTTTGGCTCCATGGAGGTGTCTGTTAGATGTTAGTCGGCACCTCCAGCAGCTTTGGCAGACTTGGTGCACTTCTTATTACCTCCTAATCGCTAGTTGTGGACTTTGCTAGGTGGGTGCCAGGATGGGAATTTTCTGTATCAATCAGCTTGCTTTATCTTCACCAGTTGGGTTTGCTTGCTGTGCATTAGTTTGTCACATTTAGAGATACAGCCACCTAAATCCCGCTGGTATAAACTGGAGCAACATCAATCTCAGCAGGGAGCTGGGGGAAAAAAGCCCCTCAAAATCCCAGTTTTACTGCTGGCATTCTGTGTCTGGAGAAACAGCATGTCTGATAAGAAACCAGCTTGCAATTGCCATCTGTCACAAGATGCACAGACAGACTTAACATTCACCTTGACAAAGTAATCAACTTGTCAAGCAAAGGAAGTCATCGTGGCCAGAGTGGTGATGGAAGGTAACTAATACTCTCCATCTGCAGCATCAGGCAATTAAGGATTTAAAATATTACAAGAGAAGAGAACTGAAATGTTAGAGAGGAAAATATATATACAGAAGTGGAGACATTAGAAACATGTAAGGGCCAGAAAAATAGACAAGAAATGCCAGAAATGTTTCATATTGGCCCCAAATGAATAACAGCCTCAAATGAAGTGGTTAAGGCTTGTTGCATATGGTAAAAATACAGGCTAAGCCAAGCAAACAGTCTCAGGCTAGTAGCACAGAAGAAATTATCTCCCTGGAGCAAAAAAAGGCATCTGTTTATTTATCTCGGTTATGAAAATGTCCTTGTCAGATGTTAGCAGCGCTGAGCTCTCTCTGGGCAGGTCACTTACCTCCTCCTTGCTCCAGAGGAGACTCGTAAACCACCACCCCCCAGTACGAGATGTATCTGCCCATCCCGAGCAGCCATCCCCGCTCTTCCCAGGAGCACTGAGCTCCCCGAGAGGTCTCAGAAGGCACAGACCTCCCTCTGCCTGGAAAATCCCGCTGCAGAAGAATGTGGCTGCCAGTAGTAGCGACACTGGAAGAGATTCCCATGCTCCCCTGAAGCCTGCCCTGAACAGAATCACTCCGCAGGGCCAGGGTTACATACAAAGGGACTTTAATGGCAATACTACCTAAAATAATTCCTTCCTGCTGACCCCACTGCTCACTCACCCTACAGCATGGCTCCTGCTGACGCAGCCCTTACCGGCAGCAGGAGGGGAGTGCTGAGGACCAGGGCTCAGAACCGACTAGTCTTAAATAAAATCCAGCAAAAAACTTCTTGCTCCTTTGAAAAACCACCAAACAAAGAAAAAAACCTAATTTGAGGAGGTCCTGGCTTGGCACACCAATGAAGAGGTGACGCACTGCATCTCAGAGTGAGCAGCTGGAGCAGGGATGGGCTTTGCTGCCAAAGGTCAGACTCAAACTATGGCCAGCGTTTCCACATTTCCAGAAGGAGGGAGAGAAGGATGACAGTGTCTCTGATGGAAAACAGTAGGAGAGATGAGCCCTGCCCCAAGACTTAAGCAAAGCAAGGCACACATCCACTGCCTGGCAGCACTGGAGTCTCCAGGAAGGCCTGGGGACTCACACCTGATCTGCACAAGATGTTTTGGAGACCAGTGAAAGCAGTGAATTAGCAGATCAGTCACAGAAATGTGAAAGTCTCTCTTGTTGACAATTAACTTTATGTTTGCCTGGGAAGATGGGTGCTGGTGCCTTTCCTCACAGTGCAATGGGAGCCCCTTGTTGCCTCCTGTAGGACCAGGATGATGCTGTGCTGGCCAAGCAAGAAAATGAAGCTGCTCCCCTGGTCCTAAGTAAGTGCTGACGAGACTGCATGATTCAAGAACACTGGAAATCACTATGGGTAGATAAAGCTGGCATTTCAGTGTGCCCCTGCCAGCAGCGGAGCCTCCTAATGCTGCCGGTCTGAAAGGACTGCTTTAGCTAGCTTGGATCTCTCAGTGTCCTGGAGGAGATATTACAGCCTTGAGATTCAGTCTCTAATTAGGTCCCTGTAGTGGTAAGATTGTTTCCTTTATAATCGCTCAGTGGGAATCGGTACTTTATCCTCCCTACTCAAATTTTTATTTCTTTCACCCTCGTTTTGTCTCCAAAGCCGGGAGTCTCCCGGTCCCCTGGATGACAGCTGCTAAAGCCTTTTGACATTCACTTTAAGGACATTTCTTTTCAGCTGCTTTACATCGCCTTTTGACAAACTCTTCTAGCGATATTTACTGCAACTAATGAACTAACTCCCAGCTGGACCACTTGCTAGTCTTTTCAATCGGGTTTGATGGTTAAATCTCATAGAACTGGTAAGTCCAAGCTGTCCTGTCGCACACCGTGACCGGGAGATGGTTCCTGGTTGTGCAGAGCAGCAGCCACGGGGGTTACAGGCATTCGGGGGGAACTCCACCTCTCCAGCAGGCAGCAAACCAGCGTATTATCCAGAGGAAATAGTTCAGTTCACAGGGAAAGTTGTTTGGGCAGCTGGAAAAGAAAGTCTCTTCCCAATCGAAGCGTATGTGAAAAATGATGCAACGCAACACGCACCACATTTCATAAGCATCTTGCACAAGTGACATTACACAAATGCACCTTTCTCCACATTTCTGCAGATCCCCTTTTCTGCTTCTAGCTTCTGAGCACATCCCTAGCAATGAACAGCAGTCCAGAGTTTGAACTTAGGGTCCTTATTTGAGCTCCTACACAAAATTAGTCTGATTTGTATAGATTCTGCCCTCTCAAGTCCCAAGATACTTACAGGGTCTGCAGGTGTTCAACCGTTACGACAGTCAGGTCGTTCTCATTTTGGCAACTAACAGTGGGTTTAGGCACCTGATTTTTAGCGATTTTACTTCCAATTCTAAAATTTTAGCCTGAAGGTAAGCAGGAAACTGGAATTTGTAGCCCACAGCCTGGGAACACACTAGTCGTGGAGTTGCCTAAGTTCAGGCTGAAATGCCAACACACACGGAGGCTCTTTATTTGTCAGACAACTTATAACAAAACAGGAAGTTATTAATATCAGAGCCTGAACTGACTTGAGAGTCAAACAATATCAAACAGAAGGTGTCTCCCCCTTTTCCTGTTTATCTCTTGCTATTTCAGAAGCCAGGGGAGACAAAGAGGCAAAGAGTTTCTCAATCTGGTGCTACAAGGCAGTGAAATCAAACCGGCAGCCTGTACATCATCACAGCAAAGATACAGCATCTCTCTGCTCAAGCCTTAAAAGCTTTTGCTGGAGTTTTAAACAAACAGGCTACCTATTTTGAAATTATGGGGTGGAACATGACAAAATAGTGCTGTGCAATGGCATGCAGGAGTTTAGACAGAGTGAACAATAAATGAAACTACAGGGGAGGGTAATAGGCTGGTTCGGTATAATTATCTTAGGAAAACACTGGAACTAAAGAACTTTCTCCGGAGAAAGTGTCATTTGATTTTTAATTAACACAGGTCATTAGGACTACAGTTCCATGTTGTGTCACCGTGACGGTTTATTATCAAAGCAGGATCAAATTACTGGCAGGGTCCTGGGAGGAAGCTCTAGGGTGAAGGAAAAACACCGTACATGCTGGCTATCCACTGCAGGGTATAGAAATGAGCAAAATGTGCTGGACTCCTGGCCCAGCCTCATCACATCAGCACAGCACACGCCAGAGAGCGCTTAGCCCAATGTCTGCACTGCTGCCCAACACAGTATTTTCTTTCAAACAAGGACAATTTGAAAAATTGCCTTTTCTAAAAGGGAACTGGACACGGTCCCTCCTTGAAAGGTGATGCTGAGCAAGGAACCCTGCGCTGAGAGCAGCCAGTGAGGGCCAAAAAGGAGAGGCAATCTGTCAGGATGCAGGTTCGATGGCTGCTGAAGCTCTTCTGTGTGTCACCAGCTGCTGTGGAGGTGACAGAGCTGGGGAGCTGTCTCCTTGGCCCCAAAATTCTCAGAGCATTTCGCAAAAGACCCATGTTGGGCCCAGGAAAACTGGCACTGGACAGAAAATTAAAGGCAAAACCCAAGACTATTTATTTGTTTCGACTTAAAATTGGGCAGGCAACTGCCCCCAGTATTTCCTAGTGTAACCTGGCTTTTCTTTATAAAACAAAACACAAAACTCTTTTAACACTGGCAGTAGATATACCAGCTCCCTGGAATGGAAAGTTTTCCATTCTCTTGGGGAAGCAGGAGATGTGAGGACTCATTCGCTGGGCTCTTTCAGCCTTTCAGAGTTATTCAAAGGTTTGGGCCTGTTTCTTTTTCCCCATCCTAATCTAGCTGAGCTGCTCCCCAGCCATGTGGAGTAAATTCCTAGAAGTGCATCATTGCGCCCTATGCCTCTCAATTTACACCAGAAAAACAGTTTGTACCTGCAGAAGACTTAAAAAAAAAAAAAGAAAAAAAAAAGAGGTGCATTTTCTTTTCTGTCTTTTATGAGACTTCAGCTGCAAAAGCAAGGCAAGAGTCACACAGTTTTCTTTGCACTGGGGCTGTAGATGTCAGAAGACAAGGGAAAACAAAACACCATGGATTCCATCACTACCTCAAGAAAATCTGCTGTAAATGACTTGCAGGTTCCATCACCTCTGACAAGACCTGTTACCTACAGAACTGACATAAGCAGCGTAACTCTCACAGGAAGGCACAGCAGACAGCCGTCCCCCAAAATAGCATCTTTTCTCCCATTCAGGCCACTTTGGGGTTGTTAAGTAAAGAGCAGCAGCAAGCAGCTGGAAGACTTTTATGATCATGGCTACAGTCCTTAGTAGACTTCTTCATCATCCCAAACTTCATCCCTACAAGGGAAGAAAATCCTGTTCTCAACAAGAGGGCCCAGGAGCACAGGATGACAAGCAGCTGGCCCCACTGGCTGGCAGATGCAGGTCCATGTTACAGCTCAGTCAGTCAGTCTCACAGCTTCTTGCTGCAGATGTGGATGGGTTCCTCTCTGGCTCTGGTCCTGTGCTTCTGCTCCTGCCTTTGTGCTTTGCTGACTCCTACCCAGAGGACACCATTTCAAGGATCTAAACCAAAGAAAAACTAACTCTGTAAACCAAATATGTCTCCTGAGTCCCATGCTAATATCTTAGCTGCTTGACCTCCTTTCTTGCAAGAAGGCTGTTATGGTTTGAGGAACCCACAACAATTTATTGCCGTTCAGACAATTATTCCATCACCCGATGACTTCTCCCCACCCAGGAAGGGAAATCAGGGAAAACCAAGGAAATCCGAGGGTTGAAATAAAAACAGATTTAATAGAATAAGAATAGATCACAGAATCACATGGGGTTGGAAGGGACCTCTAGTCCACCCCCCCTGCCAAAGCAGGTCCACCTAGAGCAGGCTGCACAGGAACTTGTCCAGGTGGGTTTTGAATGTCTCCAGAGAAGAGTCTCCACCACCTCCCTGGGCAGCCTGTTGCAGTGCTCTGCCACCCTCAAAGTAAAGAAGTTCCTCCTCATGTTTAGGTGGAACTTCTTATACTCAAGTTTGTGCCCATTTCCTACTGTTCTGATAATTAACATTAATAACACTAAGGAACCAATATTGATCCGCATACCAATATAAAAAATACAAGGATTATACCCAGCCCATTCTATCAGGAGGGAGCTGTGCACTCTCAGAAATGGACAGCACATGTGGGACACTGCAAGTGTCATGTCTTTGGGAGGAAGAGAAGTGGTCAGGGGTCCAGCACGGGGGCACAAAGTTCTCAGGATCGCAGCCACCAAGAGAGAGACAGAACTCCTCAGCAAACTTTCTAATTCATATTGAATGTGAGGTTCATGGTATGAAATAACCCTGTTGGCCAGCTTGGGTCAAGTGCTCGGGTCTCACTCCTCCTCATCCCTGCACCTGGCAAGGCTCGGAAACACTAAGACCTTGAAACCCAGATACCAGAGCTGGCTGTAAAATAAGTATTTTCACAAATTCAGGCAAATATTAGAATCTTCTAAAAAAGCATTTTTTGCAAGCACTAGAAGAGACTCACCTCAGCCTCAGCCGGGCACCGAGCAGGACGCAGGAGCTGGGAAGCAATGCCCACTCTTGCAATGCACCCTGCGAGCAGCCCCAGCCGGCCACTCCTCCCTGCAAAGGGTCTCTAAATCCTGGGATTTACCAACCTGCAGGGTCCTAGTAGGTATCCTGGAGATAGCTGGCCCCCACCTGAGCTCATGGATGAGGAGGAGGAGGAGGAAGGGAGGAAGAACAGTTCCAGATGAAGTGGAATTAGGCAAGACAAAAAAGTGGTTGCTAGGAAAAGAAAACGAATGATATAAAAATAGATATGAACAAAAGCACAAAATGCAAGAGAGGTGAAATGAAGCAGAGTGAAGGGAAAGTGTTCTGCGGAGTGAATGAGAGAGATTCACAGCAGAACATCAGTTCCCTGTGTAGCTCAGGTCAAACATTGCTTTCGTTTGGAAGTCAGCTACCCTGAGTGCTCTGAGGGACTCCCTTTGCAGTCCAAGGCGTACAGTAAAGGTACGGCAGAGGGAATCTCTTCAGGACCTGATATGGTTCTCTCTCTTACCATATCTGAGCGCCTCAGGCAATCTCATGCACCACGGGGGTCTGGAAGTGCTGCTCTTCCTTGGAGAATGAGGGGCGAAAGGCAGAGGGGATGGGAGCAGCTCACCCCAGGGAGGCAGTGGCAAGGCAGAAACCTGGCTGTAGATCAGCTAAGTCCCAAGCCAGCACCTGAGCTTCCAGACACACCCTCTTCTCCCCCCAAAACGTGAGAAAAGAAGAAACAAAACCGAAGCCATACCACAGTGGTTTAAGTCGTTTGAGAGTCCTGGCTGCAACCTCCCACACAGCAATCACCGCACAACCCTGGCTGGTTTCACCGCTAGCATCTCACCTTTCCCTTCTCAGGTTCTCTGTTGCATCTTGACACAAACTGGGAGCTGCCTGAGGCAGAGGCTGTTTAACCTTCCCCATTACTTTGCATGTGGCACACAGTATCATGGGGTATCCTGCAGTTTTTTGACTCTGATTTGAGCTTTTGACTCTGAGAGTCAAATTATTTAACGCCACTTGTGTCTGTCTTGCGAAGCCTTTTGATCCCTGTGAGCAGCTAAAAGAAGCAATACGTGTGAGCAAGAGCCATCCGTGCACACCACTCAGGTTTTACCCTATCTGCTCATTCAGAGATTTTTGATATTAGGGAGATTTTTTGGTCTGCAGGCAATAGCTCTTGAGGGTGACAAGAATTTGGCTAGTGAATAAAAACAAGCCTAAAAGACCTGCATGCAGCAGAGATTGCTTTATAAGAATGAAACCCTGCAGAGGAATTGTTTATAAGAACTCTGATGCCCAAACTGCTGCTGTGGAGGATTTATGCTATAGGGATGTGAGTGTGTGTTCCTGCTGCACTACTGACTATTCCTATGTATCTCCTCTCTCCTTGCCCTTCAAGGCTTTGCTCTGAATATAGCGATGTAGGCTGCTCCTGAGGGGTCTTGGGAGAGAATCTAGAGGGTAAAGATTGCTTCAAAGCAGATCTTCAAACATCTGTTTGTACTTACGGAACAAGTATTTAGCACACCACAGCACAGAGCTGCCTGTAGCTTCAAGGCAAACGCAAATGCTACGAGGTATTAAACACTCATAAACATAAACAAGATACCCTGGAGTAGCTGATGGGTTAGGTGGTAACGGGTGGGGAAAGGTTCATTGTATATTTAGGGCCCAGTCTTTTTCCCACTGATATTTTCTGTGCTAGTAACGGGCCAGGGAGAGGAAAACTCTTGTGCACTGTAGCCTGGCGATGCTGCTCAGATCAGCGTCAGTCCTGACTCGCTCCTGCAGTGGTTCCTGCTTGCTGAGGCACCAGGGTGCAAGGGCAGACTCTGGATGGCCCCCCTCCGAGTCAGGAGAGGAAGGAGACAACCCCTAACGGCAGCCCCATTTCTGACAGCAGTGGCACCCACTGCTGCAGTTGTTCCTACAGCAGAAAGGAGATTACAGCTGAAGGGTAAGGGGGAACTTCCCTGGCAGCAGAGGCCTTCCTAGTTGGCCATACAGGAGCACCTCAGTAGCCTCTGGCCTCAGATTACCACCTGGTTGGAAAACAGATGAGCAGATGAAGACATTATCACCTGCTGTTGCTCGATTCCTCTTTATTACCAAAGACTAGAGTGGAGCTGAGACACCAGGATGCTTCTATCATTGCCCAAGAGAGAGGTATCATGGAGAAGACAAGGCTTCAGAGAGGCCTGATATCAGCGTTCCAGTACCTAAGGGGGGCCTACAGGAGAGATGGGGAGGGACTCTTGAGCAGGGAGTGTAGTGATAAGACGAGGGCTAACAATTTTAAACTGAAAGAGGGGAGATTTAGATTAGATATTAGGAAGAAATTTTTCATTGTGAGGGTGGTGAGGCCTGGAACAGGTTGCCCAGAGAAGTTGTGGATGCCCCAGCCCTGGAGGTGTTCCCAGGCCAGGCTGGATGCAGCTTTGAGCAACCTGGTCTGGTGGGAGGTGTCCCTGCCCATGGCAGGGGGGTTGGAACTAGATGATCTTTAAGGTCCCTTCCAACCCAAACCATTCTATGATTCTATGATTAAACTTATAGAAGTTGGTGGTGTTTTATTCCCCCACACTCCTTCTAGGTGAATGAAGAGATCATTTGGCTGGTTGAATTCTCTGAATCATGTCCTACGAGGATCAGACAACTGCTGTTCTGGTGCAAAGAGAGAACAGAAACATGGGGCAGAAGCCGTAAGGACATAAGGCATGGCACCAGTGCTGGTCTTGATGGTCATAAACCATTATAGACAACATCTCAGTATCTCTAGTTCACAGTCTTTTGTCTACTCTAATCCCACCTCCCTGGAGATTTCAACTAGAATTCCATTTGGAGGAGCTCTGCCCTGGGCATATTCTGCCAACTCTGCTGCAGGGACAGTAATCTTTGCCAGCAGAGCAGTAATAAACATCTGGGTGGGTCACTGCTCCAGTCACCTCACTGTAATTTGCTATAGCTCATTTGTCATAGTCCTAAATCACAACACAAACACTAAAAATCAGCCCGAAATCAGAGAATCATAGAATCATAGAATCATAGAATGGTTAGAGGTGGAAGGGACCTTAAAGATCATCGAGTTCCAACCCCCCTGCCATGGGCAGGGACACCTCCCACCAGACCAGGTTGCTCAAAGCTCCATCCAGCCTGGCCTTGAACACTTCCAGGGATGGGGTATCCACAGCTTCTCTGGGCGACCTGTTCCAGTGTCTCACCACCCTCACAGTAAAATGGATATGCAGTAAAATGGAAATGGATATGCCAAGGCCACAAAACCTGCAAATTCTCTGAAAACATGCAGTCTAGCCCAATAAATAGTGCCTTCCCCAGGAAAGCTCTTTTTAGTTCTCCAAGCAAAACAGTGTCAACAAGAAAAGCATTTTTACACTGGTATTTTTGGTGGTATGGAAACATCCCTGTATATTGCAAGGTCTTTACTACATGGGCAGAAGTTTCTAATGTAGATCTGCATTCAGTTCTGCATTTCTGGAGGTGAAGAGGGCTTTTCAGTCACGTTGAGCTAATGCAACTGAGCCAACAGGAATTAAAGCTATGCCCTTTTCTGCCTGTTGAGACATGGTGAAAGAAAGCAGCCACCTTAAATCAAAGGGTCCAGATTCAGGGAGGTGCTCCAGCTAGAAATCAGAAGGCAGTTTACAGATACTTTGATAACTTGAGCTTTTATCATTCCACAGGCCCCCGAGATCAGTTGGTGAGGGCTGAGTGAGTTTCCTCATATGGTATTTGAAGGCAAAGTCAATCTACATTTTCCTCCCAACAGGCAAGCCCAGGCAGCCACAGCATGTTATAAAAAGAGGAGATTAAACACAAGTTTTGCAGTGCTACTGTCTGAAAAGATACAATCAGCTCTATCGTTGGGAGCTTAGGAGTTAGGATTTTAAATCTGATGTAGGCAGCTTTGAAGCACCAGTTTTGTCAAGAATATCCCATGCTTTGTCCTATCTTGAAAACGGAATTGTTTAGCTATTAAAAG